GAAGACTACAACTACCAACTGCCTACCTCGGAAGTGCCTGGGAAGTCCTATGTACTACCTCGGCCTGCCTCCTGACTGCAGGAGGGCGAGCAGGCCGAGGAGGCAGCTCTTGCCAATGCCGAAGTGTGCCAGTGGCTGGTGTGCAGCAGCCTGCTCGAGGCTGGCGTGGGAAGAGTCTAAAGATAGACTGTTCCCCAAAACCCTGGTTTGGTGCCTGCGTTTCAGGGCCGGTCGTTCTGATGAACGCCCGAATATGGCCCTTCGTTTCAGGCTAAAAAAGGCTGTTGCCATTTTTAGTCTGAAACGACCAGGGATAGGCCCTGAACTTCAGGCTTTTGGCCTGAACCGACAGGGGGCCTGTAAGCCCTGGATTTCAGGCTTTCGGCCTGAAATTCAGGCTTTTGGCCTGAAGTTCAGGCTTTTAGCCTGGACGGACGCGGGCCTGCAAAATGGTCGTCGGGCCTGCAAAATGGCCCGTGTGTGCACGCGCTGCATGTAACATCTCGCTGTTGCTTATTTTCCTTGCAGATGCAATCGTACTATAATTTTGTACACAATTGCGGTAATAACCACACATCCCCAAGAACGATCTGAATAGACTGGGATCATGGCCAATCCCTAATCCTAGCCACCTTCGCATCTTCAGGCCTAATCCCTTCCGCAGATACTTCATGACCCAAGTACAAGATTTTAGTGCATCTGAACTCGCATTTCTCTAAATTTATCGTATACTTGTGATGCCGAAGGAGAGAAAGCACTTGTCTACATGCTGGGCATGCTCCTCGACAGTTAAACTGAAGATAAGAATGTCGTCGAGGTACACAACAATAAACTCATCCAAGTAGTCATGGAAGATCCTATTCATGGCCTGCTGGAATGTACCCGGTGCATTGCAAAGGCCGAAGGGCATCACCACAAACTCGTACAGACCGTACCTGGTCTGAAATGCGGTTTTGTGCTGATCTTCTGGTCTAATGGTAATCTGATGGTAACCAGATTTTTCAAGTCTATCTTAGTGAAATGAAATACTTACATCTCTGCACCCTATCCAATAGGTCGTCTACGCGCCGCAGGGGCTCTACGTTCTTAACAATGATGGCATTGAGGCCCCTATAATCAATGCACATCCTTAGTGATGCCCCCTTCTTCGGTACAAATAAGACTGGTGAGCCGAAGGGGGAGATGCTAGGCTGTATTCAACCCTTCTCTGTGAGCTCTTTCAGTTGCCGATGGATCTCGTCCACCTCGGACGGAGCCATCCTATAGATTCTCCGTTTGGGTATCTCACTCCCAGGGATGATTTCTATGGCACGGACAACCTGCCTGTTCTTCTTCTTCTTCTTTGAGTTAATTTTGTTTTCTTCTTCTTCTTCTTCTTCTTCTTCTTCCTCCTCCTCCTCTTTGCTTCAAGGTCTCCTCCTTCCATGTCTTTTCCACTTTTTGATTTGTGACTGAGTGTCGTTCTCTCGAAGTTGAGTTTTGCACAGAGAATTGGTCAGGATCACAACACAAAGGAAAGCGGAACAATAGGGTATACCAACCAATCAAGACAGACAACATCTAGTGAGGGAAAAAAGACGAAGGACAACAATGAAGGAACATAGGTTTTTTTAAATAAAAAAAAATAAAAATAGCGCATAGGTGAAGTGCGTTGCGCAGTGCGGTGTGCGCTGCGCTGATCACAGATGCGCAAAAAAAAGAAAGGGAAAAAAGTTAAAAAAAACAGAAAAAAAAGAAAGAAGCAACCATGATGTGTAGACACTCTTAGGAGAGAGAGAGAGAGAGAGAGAGAGAGAGAGAGAGAGAGAGAGAGAGAGAGAGAGAGAGAGAGAGAGAGAGAGCCCTTACAAATTATTCAGACAACCCCTGCCGGTACTTCAAAAGGTCCCTGCCAAAAATTGGCAAGGGTCCCGTCGACAGGAGAAGGGTAGTCACTCGACTTGGTAGTAAGGAGGGAGCAGGCCAGCTATATATGGTGTAGCTCCGAATTCACGTCCGTGTTTCAGCAGTGATGGATTAATGACGTACTGACTCAGCAATCGGGATGTGATTTTCAGGGCTTCACTCCACTACTCACCAACTGTGCAAAACTAGAATGAATCTTCTCCTAGAAACTGGAACCATACAAGGCTTATGTTTTTCTTTTGTGATCAGTGGAGCAGGCACTTAGGGCCACTGCACGTAAGAAAAGGAAAAACAAAAAAAAGCAACACAGCTACTGTAGTGACTATAGTACTTTCGTAACCCATAACTCTTGGAAGACAGACCTGAATCCGAATCCAGGATATATTGCTGGCCTGCTCGTGGTCTTTCACCAGTTCGATGAAGATCCTTCCGCATGCATGGGAACCCTGCTGATTCTTTGCAGGGGACCTTTTGGAAAAGAGAATGGATCCAATGAGTAGTACGAAGTGGGCCCAAAATATGTTTTTTCTCTGCACAGTGGATTTATAATTTTCAAAAGGGAGGGACACATTCGGTTACCACAGCCTACCCTTTCTTCTTTTTTTTTTTGATTAATTTGTAAATGCGCCGCATCATGTGCGTGCGCGCATGTGCACATGCGCTATCCGGCGCAGGTGGTGTGCCGCATGTATGGTTAATACCGACCAAGATAGTTACAGGACAGTGAGGCAGCGCACGTGATGTGCCGCATGTATGGTTAATACCGACCAAGATAGTTACAGGACAGTGAGGCAAACGGGGAGAGAAGAGAGAATCATTCTGACCGGCAGAACTGTAGCCCCGATCCTCTAAGGAACCTGTGAACAAGAGGCATATTCAGAGCAGCATGGAATACATGGAGTGCAATGAGACAGCCTGTGTTAAACACATACTGTAGCATTTGGGACAGAATCCTACAGTGCTGTGTAATTCAAAGCAGCTGAGGAGCCCCGGTCAGATGATCAGGCTCTACCTTGCCAAAATGGGTTAAACTGACCTGGGCCACATCTTAATGCTCAACTGACACATGGAAGACAAGCCCCCATAATGGAAAGAGACGGAACCCCTAGCCTGTGTTTTTTCCTCGATTATCAAGGTGAGAAAAAAGTGGGCCGAAAAACTGGTGACTGCTGCTGTCAGCAGAGGTTGGGATAGTACCTGGGAAAATATTTGTGGCCAGTCCAGTTAGAAAAGGCAAGCAAAAGCATACAGGGAAAAGCCAAAAAAAAGACGGCTTCACAGGGCATTCCTATTTTCGTAACGAGGATCATGCAACATATGGCCAGAAAATGACAAAGCACCGTCCCAATCCCCTTTTCTCTCCTCTCACGAACACAAATGCACACATGCACATGTACACACATGCGCAAATACACATAAAACAGAGATACTTCACACCTCACGCTGGATGAAAATCCCAATAGACCAACGGGCCACCCATGAACCGTTGAAACACAGATCTACGCTCGAATCCAGATGCAGTCAGATTAACAAAATTACATATTTCTGAATCACCTAGGGCCGTTAAGTTCAGGCCGTTGCCCTTTCACAAAAAAAAAAAAAAAAACAATAGGCTGCGAGATCAGCATTCAGTAGTTGCAGCACTGCCCAGGTGAACCGTACAACACCTAGCAACAAAGCTGTGCTTCAAAAGCCCTTAGGGGCAACCAATTTCCAGGATGCGAAACCATACCTTGAAACCAGCAGGACTCGAACTCTCCACATAGCCTTCCTCTCCCACAAGGTTGTGTTTGATAGCTTCCGGATCATTGTTTCTGACAGCATCTCCCCTGAACTTCACATCACTTGTGATGCATCCTGTCCTCTCAAAGAAGTCAATTGGACAAGATGGCACTCCAAGCCCGAGAGCTCCTCTCCCATTCAGCAAAGCAGCTGCACGCCTTTTTAACTGCTCGATCTCCCCAAGCTCTCCTGCGCTAAATCCCCGGCCCACCACCTCTCCCTCGCCTCCAGTACATTGCTGTAACAAAGCCCCTTCTTTCAGCACACCTTCGCGTGCCCACGGTGGGAAGTATGAATACACTTGTAAGCTACCATCGTCATTCAGAATGAGCACATAGCTGCGATCTCTGGACATCGATCGATAGGCTGCCAGCCCATCCACTCTCACCGAGGAAGCACTCCCAGACCTCAAGTGCTGCACCTCAATACCTGCCCTTCCCACCCGAACAGCGACTGCTGAATTCCCTTTCAAGCTGGATAAACAGACAAACAGACCATACCCATCAAACATCTCCTTCCAATGGTGAAGACCACAACCATCCCCGGCAACTTTCCCTGTAGTGGTCAGCTCATCTTTCTGCTTCTCTAGGATGCAGCAAGCATCCACCAGCCCCGTGCCACGTCCATCAACCTTTCCAATGATGCACTGCCCATTGGTGAAAGATACAATAAGCAGCCGTGAAAATGAGCTGTAAAACAAGGACAGGCCCTTACCTGCGGCGGCGAGGCACTCTGGCATTCGAATAGTCTCGGTCAGAATATGTGCCCCAGAGCCCTCTTCTCCATTCTCTCCCTTGTCAGGTAGTTGTTCAACAAAGAGCACACCTTGGTTCGAAAGTACTGCTGCAACAAGACTTCCTGTGACCATATCCTGGATCAAAACTGCCTCCTGGATTGTATCCTCAAGAACTGTCACATAATGAGCTGGGCTGATGTTGTCCATTGACAGGTCATAGATCTTTACGAACCTGTTTGTGACCACCATGAGCTTCACTTGTGAGCCTGGAACCCATGATATCCGCTTGATGAAGGTGCCAACCTCGAGTGCCAGTTCAACAGCAAGTCTGTCAACCACCTCTCCACGGGAGCTTAGAGTAAAAACCTGGCACTCCTCAAATCCGGCGACAGCAAGATAACTCTCGTTCAGGGAATTGAACTCAACATGAACGACTTCAAACCGCACTGCATTGCAGGACAGTCGCTTCACGGCTGCCTTCTCAAACGCAACAACAGATGTGCATGGCTGCCCAATCAGCTGACCAACGTCAAAGACTGCCACCTTGTCACCTTCCCCAACAGCAAGCTTCCCCCTCCTACTAATACTTAGAACTGATTTGTACAGGAAACCATTTCCTAGTTGGTTCTTTAACTCCCTTGCGCTCGGATACTCTGCTTTTATCTTCATGTCCAGAGATCCTGCCTTGTAAGCCTTCCTCAGAGTCAGAACATCTAGTTTCCACTCAAGCACCTTCGCCTCGGACCATTCCACCTCAACCTCCTCCAGACCCCTCATGGCCCGATCCTTCATATCAAGTGCAGAAATCAGTCTCCGTGATAGGGCAAGAACACTCCCTTCCAAATCAAGCCTACACAGATCCTCCATCATTGCAGCCTCTTCCTCTGGGCTTATTAACACTGCAACAGTCATTCCAAAGATGTTCTTCGCCTCACTTCCAATTATTCCTAGGGATGAAACCTCCTCCTCCTCAGTGTCGGAGTCACTTTCTGGAGACTGCCCAATAAGCCTCCCCACTCCACCAGCAGTCTGCACAGCCGAACTTGGCAGCCCGCGGGACTGCACTGAGCCGCCATCACTTATAGGAGGTGGAGGCGCCTTCGGAGGTGGCACATACTTTCTTGGCTTCAATGCAATACAACCATTGCTCCTCACCCCAGTGGCACCACAATCACAAAAGAAACGGCTCAACCTCGAATACACAACTTTGTGCCCTTTATGACATACCTTGGCACAGACCGAGCAACACCCTTTTGAATGGGTCAAATCGCATGTGTAACAGAAGTACCAATGCTGCTCCATGAAATTGCTTCCACTGTACGTAAACGTGCAAACACTGGATGCCAGGGCACGCTCACTGTCCTCTTCATCATCATCATCATCATCTAGCTTATCCATTCCACTTGTTGCCTCTCCGTCGGACATTGCATCGTCCTCTTCCTCATCAACAGAAACAGCTTCACAATCAACAGCAGTTAGGGCGTTCCTTTCCCACTGCACCCCATTTCCACCAACTGCAACTTCAGTTCTGCTTCCTGGTGCAGTAGCTGTGGGCTCCACCTTGCCAAATCCAACGTCAAAGCCATGAGGTGGTTCACCTCCAAATCCATCTTCACCCCTCACTCCCAAGCCTGCTAGATTTCTCCCACAAACTTTTCCATCCCCGCTTCCACAGCTGGCCAAACAGCATGCCAGGAATAACAGCAGAGGTTGGAGCCCTTCAAGCCGGTCACTGGACGTGGACTGCTCCACAAACCTCTTCAGAATGCCAACCACCGTTGCCACCACTTGCTTCACAGGCCCCACTCCGACTGCCAGCTTTACAACCTCTTGGAAAAATGGTTTAACAGAGGATACATCCGCAAACAAAAAGGCAGATTCAAGGTGTGATAGCATTGCTGACAGAATGTGATTCCTCAAATTCTCTATCCTCTCTGCACTCACCGAACCACCAGCTTCCTCAAAAGGCCCTTTGGCAAGAACATCAATAAACTCCACAGTCGCATTTCTCACAGTAGATGAGGCAATCCTTTGGGACACACCAACACAGGCATCGTTCTCTACCGCCCTTTCAACCATGACTCCAATAAGCCTATCCTCAATCCAGAGTGCAAGCTCATCTCTCTCCATACTCATTAGTTTCTTCTCCATAATTTCCCAAAAACCAAGTGCAAGCCTTTTCCATCGCACCGCTGAGTATGGATGACTACTTTCCACTGCCTCCTGCACTCCCGACCCCTTCAACAGACCAGTAAGAAGGTGCAAGACATTTACATTCACCGACTCATTCTTGTTCCATTCAAGAATATGGAATAGTGATGAGAATTCACCAGTTCCCAGTGGCAGAATGTTCACAATGCCATTGCCTGCCTTGTTGTCACCTTTGTTATTGCTTTCGAAAAAGTACCTGCACAGCCACATTTGCCCAGCAGAATTTCCCCACATTTCCTCCATGATCTTAACACAAAAAACAACAATACACTCTACAGCCACATCATCCCCAAGAGATTCAAGCTGTCTGAAGATGGACTCTATGTTTATAAGAGCATATACATCTCTAGCGGCAAAGAGCTCATCCTTAGAGAGCATCGATTGGCAGCTGCCACTCAACACCTCAAATACAGAATTCTGCTGAAAGGTCATCATGGTTGGCAGAATCCTCTTCTTCACCTTCCATTCTTCTTCTTCTGTTTCCTGTGCTCTGTCCCCGGCATGCCTCATTTTCTTAGTAGCATTCAACCAGCCACAAATAGCCCCGGTGATTGAAGACAGAACCTGCAAACAAGAAGCAACTGCAGCACTCCTCTCATTGGCCATGGGCGAGAACCCATGCAACAGGCCTGATAACAGCACAGATTGAACATTTTTACCATCTCTGAAATCGCAGCCTTCTTTGGATGCCACAAGACTTGCAACCTCTTTGTCCCATGTCATTGCAGAGTTCCACCGAAGTAGCCGCTGCATCTGGTCAACCAGCTTCCTAGGCAGGTGCTGGAGACCATTCCTGTTGATCCCAGCTTGAAGCATCATCATCACGGCCATACTGTTACCCCTACCTCCATCCTCCATAATGCTTTCAACAGCTGACTGAACTGCGGCAAGCGTCTGGTTTTTGAACCACACCAGAACACAGGAAAGAAGCTCGATAATCTCTGAGCCATGTGCATCATTGACAATCATTGCAATAATGGACTCCCCACCTGGTCCTACACTTAGAGATTTTCTGTTTCTATGATAGGGGTCGCACATTGCCTGACAACCAGAAGGTTGAATTGTTGTTGGCTGCCCTATTATCTGTTTGTAACCCACATGCATGAATCGACATAAGCAGTCAGCTACTGCACTCCATTCCAAAAGCCGCCATTCATTCACCTTCTCCTTGTTGCCAATGAGTACACTTTTGAGCTCAACCAAGACACCCCTAAAGCATGCAATGACAGTTGAGGCATCAAATTCTTCCTCATTTAAGATGCATGCCTTGGCAAACCTTCCAAGGCGTGCCAACACCACCATGCCTGATCCCTCACATGCACACCACCATGCCTCATCCATGAATCCACCCCGCATTCCATCAGATATGGGAAGGTTGATCAGAAACTTCCAACAGGCATGAAAGAGATACCTCTCCACTAGCAGATCCAGTAAACTCTGGGGGCCACTTCTACTCCGTCCAACCTTTAGAATCCTGCAAAGCAAATGCCAGGCTAAATCTACATTCCATCCAATTTTTTCCAGCTGTGCTGCTCCACTGTCGCGCAAAGTGGCTTCTGCATCCTGCGCATCACCCATTTCAAAAAGCATTCCCAGCGTCCGTCCATCCAACCCAGCCTCGACACTTTGAGAATCGTCTGCAACACTCACACCCAATATGGATGCCCATGACCCAAATGTTGGATCACTTGCACCAGGTCTGGAAAAGACGTCACCAGGGCCAGGGACAAGACAGGAGTCATCAGGTGTGTATCTTAGGTAGCGCTGCATATCGGTTAGCAGCCAAGTGGGAAAGCTGTCGAAGTAGACTAGCATGTATCTGAGCAACAGAACCAACCTGGCTGCAACCAGACGAAAAACAGAAATGATGGGCCCCTCTGTGGCCAAGGATGTCCCGCTCTTTTCTGCAAGGTCAGTTCCCTTCTGTAGAACCCCAAGTAGATGTGAGAGGGCTCTGGAACGCCCAGAAGGCCCTATGAAGTGGTATGCAAGAACCACAACCTCCATATGTAAAAGAGATGGTAGGGCAAGTACCTCTTTCTCAAGATGCACAGACTGCCCCCTTCCCACTGTCAGAGCAACGACGTTCTCCCACTGATCCTGTAAGTGAGAGATAGAGCCCTCCACAACGGCCCATACAAGACCATCAGGCTCCTCCTCACCATGATGCTTCAGCTTCTCTCGCACATTTCCGCGCTCCTTGACTCTTCTCACAAGCAATCTTGCTACCAGAAGTATCATCTCTTCAGAAGGTGTCTGGCCTTCCTCACCATCAACCTCACTGAGAACAGAGTTTACAAAGTGCAGCTGCACGTCATCTGTGAGGATCCCCTTCTGCATTATTGAGAAGAGCAACGAGTAAAGTGCCTTTGCAAACTGTCCAACCAACTTTTTGATATTTTCTGCATCTTGATCACCTTCTCTGCGATTGTTTGAGACATGGCCTGTGGAGGAGGTATCTGATCCTAAGAGTTGCCGGCAGGATGCATAAGTACGGAGCAATGCATCAATGTCCTCCTTGCTCAGGGATAAGCACGCACTCCTGCACATGTCCAAATCCCAGAGCGGGTTGAAAACACAGTCCCTCAAGAATGACACAAGACGAAGTGCAGCAAGCATCCACATGTTCCCACCTGCACCAGTTTCCAAACCTTTTCTAAATGAGGCACTCTGCTGGAGAGAAACATCCCCAACGCTCCCTCCACCCATTGACTGCCTCCCAGTCTCCGAAAACAGGTCTGCAAACCACACTTCATCCTCACTAGCCACTGTCGCTGAATCACAGCCTGCCATACCCACTACCTCATCCTCACTTTGCTCTGACCCTGCTTTCTCAGCCTCCCTGACAGACCCAAGACAAAGTGGCATTCCCCACATGTGGAGCATTGACATCAACTGCAGCCAGTTCTCTAACCAGGGCCCTCCCAACGGCAGCAGAACAGGTATTCTTTCCTCTCTGGTCCTCAGCTTGTGAAAGTCAAATCTCTCCCCATGCAGCACATACTCCCGAGATGCTGATGACATTGTTCGCCGAAGAAGAAAACTGGGAGCTGCTTTCATAGATTGGGATTGGCCATCCACATGTGTGACCGGGAGAGGAAGAGTGTGGCAGCACAATTCACGGGCCATCTCCAGAGCATAACTCACAACTTGTGGGGAGCATGCAATTGGGAGCGTACAGCACTGGAAATGGTTACAAGCACCTGTATGAAGCAGCCCCTGCTGCTGTGCAAACACTCTTGCATTGCCAAACGCCTCCAGAATCGATGCAGCAACATATAGCTTGAGATTGATCATTAGTGTGAGATCGTTTGACACTACTCTCTGTGCCAGATGAATTGCATCTTCCACAAGTCCAATCAGGGGTGGTTGGCTATGCGATGCATCTAGGCTTCGAACTTCCTCGGCAAGAGGGCCCGCGCCTGCTGAAAAAGGTGGCACACTCCACCTCAGTCTGCGATGCAGAACAGGCAGGCTAGCCACAAACTGGACCACCCAATCTCTGCACTCCTCATCCTCTGGAGAACGTCCATGGGCAGCAACCACTAGATCCAGCAACTTCACAATCCTTGAGACCACAGCAAGAGTAGACCTTAAGTGCCTATCATCCACGACAGGGGCAGCTAAAAGTTCCTCATCCTCCTCACCTAGTGACTTTGATCGAACCATCGAGTAACAGACAGCCAATAACCGCGGGACACACCGCAGCGTCTCGACAGCATAGTCCTGCAGAGCCAACACCAGAACATCATTGTCTGGTACATCTCCCGACACACCGCTGCAGGTCGGATCATCTTTCAACAATTGGCTATTAGCTGGCGTGGGGGACCCAGAAAACAGCTCAAGAGCAAGAAGATCAGCAAGGCAGAGCTGCCGATTTGTAAGGTGGTTCGAGAGTGATCCTGCGCCGCCATAATCTGCACACGCAAGGCCAACCCATTTTTCAGCACCTATGATCTACAAACCTGTAGACCCCCTCCCGCATACTAGGTCAACCCATCTATCAGCACCTATGATCTGCAAACACTTGCAAACACCCTGCCCTAACGAGGTCCCCTTCTAATGCCCACTTCAGCCCAGATACTTCCCACAGGAACAACTCATATGGCCTAGTGAAACACACAATGGTGAGGAGAAGTTTAAGTTCACTAAACCTCCATTGCTTCCTTTGAGAGGCTGTAACATAGCAGGGAGCTATGTTACAACACATGCATATCAGCACATACGCATCGCGCAGAACCAAAAATCACCGAAGTGAGGAGCAAAAGGTTCAACAAATATCATAGTGCAGACAGAGGAAGACTAAAAACCAGCAGTCTGACCCATCAGCCTGTCAGAAAAGTGTAGCTACAAATAGTGTGTGTGGAACTGAACAATGGGCCCACCTATATACCCCTGGGCTTACCTGAGTGTAGACAGATAGTCCTCCTGGTCCATAGGATAAGATCTAATTCAACGGAACCAGGAGGATGAGCGAAATCATGGTCCAAAGGACCAGGCCAAGAAAACCAGCAAGCTTGGGTGTCACTCAGTTATCAGGCACCCATGCTGCATTTGCAGCTGTTCCAGTTCAAGACTGAGACTAGGACCCAGTGTTAGATGACAAAGAAAGGCCCAGTCCACAGAGAGAAGTCTCCAAGGCCTATTTCGGCCAGAACATGTGAACCAGTGCCTGTTCGGACTGAGAAAATCCGAAACCACGGCCTGCAATAACTGACAAAATTACGGACTGTGAATCCTACGCTTTTCTGAGATTTTGCCGTTGTTCAGTGTGATGGCTGGAATTCCTGCTGTCTGAGTCTATTCCCAGTAAGCTGGTTGCTAATATCTACGTTCTGTGTTTCCTGTGCGCTTGTCTGAGTACTCCGTGTGATTTCAATTTTAACCACAGCAGCCCCTGTTCCACCAGATGAGTTGATCCAAATCGATGCAGCATTACCTCTATTGAAGACAAGAAAGCACACTTGAGATGAGCCATTCCAACAATAGTTTTACCTCTACAGCAAGCAACATGGAGCACAAATGACCGTTGCTAGCTTGGGTGCCAGTCAGACATCCATGCACTCATGCAGCATTAAAGCCTGCTCAAGAATGAGCAAGTCCTATTTCAGGCAAAAACATGAAAACCAGTTTACCACTGCTCCAAGCAGACAATTTTGTCTGTTCGGACTGAGAAAATCCAAAACCAAGGCCTGTAATAACCGACAAAATTGTGCACTGTGAATCATATGCTTTTGTGAGACCTTTCCACTGTTCTCTGTAATGGCTGGGACTCCTGCTGTCTGAGTCTGCTCCCAGGCTGGTCATTGCTGACACGTGTTCTGCGTTTTGTGTTCTGTGTTCTGTGTTCTGTGTTCTGTGTTGTGTGTTCTGTGTTGTGTGTTCTGTGTTCTGTGTGCTCGTCAGATTACCAAGCATGTTCTAGATTTTCACCACAATAGCCCCTGTTCTAGATTAAAATCAGTCCAGCTTTACCTCTATTGCAGACAATGAAGCATACTTAAGGATGAGCAACAATGAAACAGTTTTAGCCTCCTCTGCAATCGGACTCGCTTTCATTCACACTTTACAGGCATGCAAACAGTAGCTCAGTAAACTGGCGACATGCGGCCACACAAAGCTCAGAGGTATGGTAACTCGGATACAAGTTCACCTCAACTGGCTATGGCGACATAGCGCCCACACAACTCTTTGTTCGCATACACCGGATCACCCTGGATATCCCACACGCGTCTCTCTGAACACTCACACACACACACGCTGAGCACTAACTACAGCTATGGTGGCTATGGCCACCTCTACCCTATCGCTATGGCTATGCTTCGTCTCTCTGCCCACTTCGTCTTCGGGCTCACTGCAGACCTCCTTGCACAAGTCGCTGTGGCAGCGCTTCCGCATGGCTCACGCAGGAATGAATGAATGGCTGGGCGCTGCCTCTTGATTTATACTTCTGCAGTGCGTTGGTCTGGCCCCTTCCCCAGGCCCGAAGTGCACACAGTCCCATGCGGTACTTGCTTGACTGGGCCAGGACTGCCTAGGACTGGGACTGCTGACTCAGCACGGGCAGACTCCACCACTTGCCTTACGACTTGCTCACTTGCCTCAGCTTAGACGTGGGAAGCTTCGAAAGGCCACTGTTCGGACCTTCCGGAAGGCCGTAGACTTGGCCTTTCGACACTGTAGCAGCTGCGATCTTGACCTCTCTGGACGGCAGCGGCTACGACCTTGACTCTTCGAGAAGACTACAGCTACGACCTCTAGACCTGACCGGGACTCCTATCCGACAGGTCTACAGATCGAACCCATGCTACCTATGGACCCCGCGACAACCTACCAACTGCTACAAATACACAGGTTGCGGGTTCAACTCTACGGGCCGACACGCGTACTGTACACAGGTAAGGTGGGGGCTAGGGATCGAGCCCTGGGATCGGCATCAGCTACTGCGAACTGGTGAATACCGTTTAACCTCCTTCCCGGACTGTAAATCCTTTAATAGGCCCAAAATAGCTGACAATAGTCAACGGTTGAGCTATGGAAGAAATTGGTTGGGAATTTTAACTGATTTATACCCCCCTTCAGGGTTGCATCCCCGCCGACCGTATTGTACCGACCGATCGGGGCCGACCGGTCGGCGGTAGCCGACGACTCAGAAAATAGTCCTCCGCTGATTTGTTTTTTGTTCCAACTTCACAGCTGTACTGCGCTTGCAGAGTACTTCCCAAATCCGCTGAGAAACTTTGGTTTCGGGGTGGGGGGGGT